ATTCTGCAGTTTGCTCAAGGCCATAGAGTTTGCAGCAAAAGAAAATTAAAATTGAGGTCTTCAGATCCCTAACCCAATACTTATCTCCATTAAAAATGGCTGGCTTTCATCAAATTTGCATTAGATCAAATTCTGTAAGTAATAAACTGTATGTGTGTGTGTGTGTGTGTGTTTGGGGAATAATAATAATAATAATAGCAGCTGCCTTTGTTGAGGACCTACCATGTGCCGAATTCCTCCTGTATGTTATCGATAATGCTTATGACCCTGCAAAAGCTTAGATTGTGTAGCTGACTTGCTCACGGCCACATAGGAATGTGATAAAGCTGATATTCAAATCCAGGCTTTTCTAGCTTGAAAGTCCAGACTTTTTCCATTAAGCCACATCAATATGGGTATAAAAGACATTCCCAAGTCCCAGGCAGAACATAGATGGTATTCACTACTACACAATCCTCCTCCAATAAATGAACTATGGCAGCGCTTTAGGTTGTTGTGAAGATTAAATGGATACATTTATATAAAGTGCTCTAAACCAGTACCTGGCATCAAGTAAAAGTTCAACAGATGATGATAATGATGGTGGTAAAGATGGTGTTGTATGGAATTGTTTGAAAGGCATTTGACTTATTTCTTATTAGGTTTGATCCCACCAAACCAGCTGCACACGTGAATCCTTGTACCAAAATAGCCAGCCTGCTTTTCTTCATCAGGTGTCATTTACATACAGGTATATATAATCCATCGAAATCCATCAAAAACTAGACATAATTACTAAACAGGGTGATCTGATGCTGAGCTAACAGCAGGGAATGATTAAGGCGTATGAGACATGGTTGTTGCCCTTAATTTCAAGTTTCAGTGTAGTTGAAAAGGTTAAAATGGAATAATAACTTAAGAAACTATTTAAATAATTTTATCTGGCACCTCGCTCGCAGGAGGTGTGCAGAAATATTGGTGGAATGAATGTGTGCTAAATTATTGGTACAGACTAATAAGTCAGAGAGGCAGGAGGAGAATTGAGATGATCTGGTCTCACAAAGCAGGAAAGGAATTTACAGAAGGGGTGAGTGGTCAGAGCAGACGGAGACAATTGGATCTGGCAATTAACTGATTTACCGATAAACTTCAAGAGAGATAAAAGTGGGACAGTATGACATCTATATTTCTGCAAGGGCACTTGTTTAATAAAGCTTGTGTCTTAGGCTGACTCCACGTTCCATTAGCAGGTGCCTCGCCTGAATTCATGCTTTGATCTGATTCCTGAAACTCTTCTGCAATGCAAAATCATCCCTTCTCGTTATGTTGACCATTTAAATGGCTCGCAGCATGAGTTTCAGAGTAATTCTTTAAAAATTCTCTTTCTTCACCTGCCTCTATAAACTCTCTTAAGTGAGATGACCATTTTAGTTTCAGCTATTTCAAGGTTTTATTGCTCAGCCATAAAAATTGTCATGATATCGAACACTAAAATGACTGTGGCAAATGTGTGGTAATTACATTTCATTAAAATTCCTGGTATGCTTGCTGCTAAGAAGTTTTTGAAAGCCTCTAGCTACTCTATATAATAGGGTCTATGACTTGTTCAAAGGGTCCCTGCTATAGAAAATAATTGGTATTTTTGTCAGTGGCTCTTGTTTTCTACAAGATCGTGTGTAGGTATGTGTATATATGTGGTGCATGTGGGTATATGTGTGTGTGCATGCGTGTACATATCCATGCATATATATATATGTATATTTGGTCATCAGTGCCAAGGACAATGCCAGACCTCAGGCTTGGTTAAATTCAACTCTTCGGGAAGGAAACACCCTTTCTCTTCATCTCTATCCCATAGTACATCAGCAAGGAATTTGGCTAATGGAAAATGCAGGTTGGATTCCAAATAGACCAAGTCACAAAAAATTCTACCTACACTTTGTGTTCTACAGGAATCTACTTGTACCCTCAACTCTTCCAGCCAAAAAAAAAAAATAGAATTTTTTTAATGCACTGTGGTTATAAAACTAAGGAAGGTTTTCACTGTAGTTGTGTGTTTGAAAAACTACTGTTTGTACTAAAGTTGATACAAATTGGAATCACAAAAGACATAAGTCTATTATTTTTCAAGAATAAATTAGCCACATTTTTCTGTCTGATAGAAAATAGAGCACTTCTTAAGCTTCTACTTGGCTGTGAATTATGAATCCACTGGCCATTTCTTTTGCTACTATAGGCATTAAGTAGTCAATTCTTAGTTTTTGAATGCTTGAGGTAGCGATTACTAGGGAGGATGGATGTCTTAAACCATTTAGATTTAAAACAGATACAGATATAGACAGATACTCAAGCACCACTGATTTCCAGACGTTTTGGAACTATGAAAGGTTAATCTTCATTTGTGCAATACTTTTCATCAGCAAGAATTCTATACGGCATATCATTATTTCTTAATGGAGTTGGGTATCAGTTCCTGAGAACTTATTTGTGAATTTCATGGCACCTCCTCAAGTTAATCAGACATGTCTGGGAGTCCCACAAACCCAGGCTTGAAAATCACCAGTCTCCACATTGAATGGCAGAACCATGGAACAGGCCACCTGCAGTTTTCTGCTAAGAGTTTACAAAGATTAAGTTCTGTCACTTGTCACCTAACTGTGGAGAGAGAGTGAAGAGAACTGGTGACTCTTAAGTACAGCACATAGTCCTGCTGGTATACACAAGCTGGTAGTGTTTATCTGTTCAACTGTAGTTATTGTCTCACCTGGTTGCATCAGTACATTTCTAGACGCAGCTTCCTTTTCACACCCACACCCAAAAACATACATCCCTCAAAAAGATTCATCCGTCTGAGCTGCTTGGACCTAAATATATCCCTTCTACCCCCCCGCCCCCACAAGATCCAGCTGCAAAGAGTTCTGGTAACCGGTTGCGAATCTAAAGCAATTGTTCTTAACCCCAGTTGTGCGTTAGAATCACCAGGCGAGCTTTTGAAAATCCCAGTGTCCAACCAAGCTGGAGAACCACTGATCTGACACAACTCCCATGTGCCTCATCAAGTTGACTTCATGGGGTTTTTTTTAGTTACATCATCTCTAACTCAGTCCTTAGCCTATTCTTGTTTGTGTTGCTTTTTCACGGCTTTGTAAATAGGTAGTTAGTTGCCTTGTCTCTTGAGCCTGCTTCTCTGGATGGAGATGCTGAACATTCACGATATTCTGGCCAAGCCCCAAAAGAAGGTTATAACCTGATGTGGCTTGAAATAACCAAATTCAGTAGCACCAAGAGTGTATGGCGGCTAAAGCAAGAGCATAGAACAAGTGCTGTATATCTGGGATTTGGGAACTCAGTGGTAATTCAGCACTTATGGAAGGCATATGACTCCATTAAGAAAAAACAAAGTGTGACTCTGCATCTTGGTCCCTTGTGAATGGTGTCACACCATTTTGTACACGAGTGTCATTTATCTGCTGACAAAGCCATCTGGGCTACTTGATCAAACTTTACTTTGAAATCAGGATATAACTGGAAGGGGCCGGCCTGTTGGCGCAAGCGGTTAAGTGCGTGCGCTCCGCTGTGGCGGCCTCGGGTTCGCCGGTTCGAATCCCGGGCACGTGCCATCACACCACTTGTCAAGCCATGCTGTGGCGGTGTCCCATATAAAGTAGAGGAAGATGGGCATGGATGTTAGCCCAGAGCCAGTCTTCCTCAGCAAAAAGAGAAGGATTGGCAGATGTTAGCTCAGGGCCAATCTTCCTCACAAAAAAAAAAAAAAAAAGATATAACCCGAAGTATGGTACAGGTACAACAGGGGTTGTGGCGAGATAATTTTATGTGGTGCGTAATATGATGCATAAAGAGATGTGAAAGAACATCTTTTATGTAATAATTTTTTATTTATTTTAATATATATTTGAAAATGTATAACTGACACAACGAACCCATAATTTTACAAGTATTATTGCTTTAGCCACAGTTTAGAAATCTGTCCATTTAAAGAAAAGCATCAATAAATAATTGTACACAGGAGGTACTCACATATGGAAGGAAAAAGACAAAAGTTTGATGACACTACAATATAACATGTTGTAACAACTGTGGTCAAATTAAAACTAAGGTCAATATTCTTCCTGCTTCCCAAATTAATGTTCTAGGGAGGGAGCAAGGGGAAAATAAAAAGTAAAAGGAAGGTTATTAGGTCTTTAAGTAAGATGTGGAGGATCCCATTAAATGACCCCAAGGGAAGCGCTATTATTTCAGCCAGATTGATACCCGAGCAGCATGGCAGGACAGCAAGACCTGATGCTGTGTCGTATTGATCTAGAATTGAGCTGCAGTATCTGTAGCAGGCTTGGTAGAAGGCTCAAACAGGAGAACCCGATGCCAGCTCCCCATGCGTGTCTCTTGGGAAGGTGAACGATTTCTCCTAGGGAGCAGCTTGCTCTTCTGGGTGTGTGGTGTTTGGAGAAGGATAAGAAAAGGCTCAGAGAAAACCTGACACCTCTGCTAATGTCTGGGGCGTGTGAAAGCTGGCTTGCCCTGTGATGCGCTCAGATTCAGCTCATCTTTTTCTTCTTCATGGGCCGCTCTTCCCTGGCTCGCATTAGAAATTCAGGGGCAGAGAACAAAGCAGCCAAGTTTGTTTTTCCAGCGAAAGAGGGGTCTGGTGAAAACAGCTCTGACAGCTGTGCTCTGTAGCTGGGTGAATGAAGGGCTTTTACATGTTTCATTCAAGACTCTGTTTAGTCTGGGTGCTGAGGATTTATGTATCAATTTTTGGCTCTCGTGTCATTGAGGTAGTTCTGATTTCCAGTGATTTCGTTGTCATCTGTATTTACCCACAGTGAAAGGAATAACTAAGAGAACTAGGAGTCAGCTTGTTGCAGGCTCACTTAAAAGCTTGCCTGCCTTCGTTCCTTCTCTGTGATGGTGTTGCTAGTGCTTCTAGAAACTAAAGCAGCAGTCCTTAATAAAAGGACTGCATCGGGGTCGGTCAACTGCTCTCTCGTTGGCTTTTGCAGAAGTGGCAGTGCCTCGAGGACACGTCTGGCAAGCTTCGCATTCACAAGTGTAAAGGATCCAGCGACCTGCTCGCCGTCCGGCAGAGCACGCGGAACCTGTACTCTCGCGGCTTCCACGACAAGGACAGAGAGTGCCACTGTGGAGACCCTGATTATCGTGCCAGCAGGAGCCAGAGGAAAAGTCAGAGGCAGTTCCTGAGGAACCAGGGGACCACGAGTAAGCCATGCGCTGTGACCACCCCAGGGGCAGGCCGAGGCCTTCGGAAATGGACATTAGAGAGACAAAAGGCTTCCCTCCTTACACATTTTAGATGTTATCCATGCATAGTTGCAGGGCGAAAAGCAAATAATTGGTCTGTTTAAAGTATGATAGCAAAGATAATTTGCAATTTTGCTTTGTGAACATTTCCAATTAAGCACAGAATGAAGATTTATTCAGTAAAGGCACCAGAGACAACACATCCACACACATAAAAGAGCTGTAAAGAGTACGGTGAGGGCAAAGGGTAGAGTTTAGGGCAGTTTAATTTTACTTTAATGCTAAGGTTCTGATTTGTCTGCCTTAAGGTGCCTTAAAAGAAAAGGGAGAAAAAATAAAAACTGAATGTCTGTGTTTGGGCATTTAACTAATAGGAAAAGCATAAATACCTTTTTTTTTTTAATTTTTTGTTTATTGCAGTAACATTGGTTTATAACAGTGTATAAATTTCAGGTGTACATCATTATACTTCTATTTCTGCATAGATGACATCATGTTCACCACCCAAATACTAATTACAACCCATCACCACACATGTACCAAATTATCCCTTTCACCCTCCTCCC